AGATACATTACAGAAATAGAGATGTTTTTGATTGAAATTGAGCTCGAAGTATTGGAAATGTTCAATTTTTCCCGATATTCCAATGTTTACAAATTACGTCACTCGTCCAGGAGTCCAACTGGTCTGTCTAATGCGTTTAGGAATGCACTGACATTATTTGTACAATTATAACAATAAGGCAGTAGTCTGCATTAAAGTAAATTGTTTAGCTCTTGCACGAGTAAGAATTAAAAATGGAAAGCAAGCATAATATAAGAGAGGCCTGGGGACATAACTAATAAATAGAGGAAATGTTATTTTAGTGCCAGGAATGTCTACATTATTTATTCTGGATCCTATTTATAAATTGGTAATTTTTTTAATTTTATGTGAAATTGGACACATTACCAGTTTTTGATCACCTTGGGTAGTTGAAACAGGTAAATTGGTAGTTTCTTGTGCTCAGTGAATAGAATGGAATGAATACTAGTAAATTTGGTCCACTGGAACAGAGGAATTGACTTAAAATAGAATTCAAAGTGGGCGAAATTGTTTATGCGTAATTATCGCCAAGACCACTAAATTTGCAAGAGCATAATTCCATAAATTTTCCATCAAATTTCGTACTTTTTGTTTCATTACCTTCAGAAAAAGATTTTCTGTCATTTCACAAGAAAACAATTTTTTTTTTTTAATTCTTGGATCCTGAGAGCAATTCTCAGATTAGGGATCTGGACCTTGTTAGGGTGAAATTCAGCTATTTATTGTTTTCCTCATAATCTACGATCTTAAATCACAGGAGTTTTTCACTATTTATGATGTGGTAATCTATGAAACTTGGTTAAATGTAAAGCGCTATATAACAAGTATGTTGTCTTTGCTTTTTCTTGGTTAGAGTTTTGTGTGACTGCATATAGCACATTTTCTGTGGATTTTTTTTTTTTATTCTGTAAGAGGGATAGGCCCATGGGGGGCATTCACCAGGCCTATCACAAATGGTCACTTGCATCACTTTTCACAGGAATCAGTGGAACTGTCATGGTGACATTGTCAGATTGAAGATAAATGATGCATATACATTGATCTAGGCATTTACTAAATACAGCCTCTCCTCATTTAGCAACATACTCATTTACTGATGACTCAGACTTATGATGTTCTCTCTGACTAGTATGAATACCTAAATGTATATTAGAGCTGATTTCCTCTTATTCTCTTTATTACAGTATACAGTGCACTACTGTATAAACATTTAAAAATATACCAGAAATGTTATAAAGAGTGCAAAGGTAACAGTAAAATAATATCAAAGATGGTTGACACTAACTCACGACCATTATAGTATGCTCCTCACTTAGCGACGAATTCAATTACCGACGTGGTCTTAGGAATGGAACTCCATCATTAAGTGAGGAAAGGCTGTATCTTAATCAGTGTGCATGTATTTTTGACTTACATTGCAGAAATTGGCACTAATTTGTTTTTATTACATTCATTGTCACTGCTCATCCTCATAGCTACAGTCACTTTCTTGCAATTAGATAAATATAATTTTCTTTTGAGAATTGTGCTTTTGAGTTTTTCTTTGCACATGTCACTTTGTTTCAGGATTAAAAATATTTCCATTGCATAAATAATTTTATTCTAACTTTGGTTATTTTAATTTACAGATATAAGAAAAGAACAGGAATATGTCAGTTTACCAATCTCTTTGCTTCAGGTATGTTAAAAGGCAGTGAAATTTTTAGAATTAACATATTGTGAATTAAGATACCAATACATAAAAAATTTATACTTTGCATCAGACTATATTTTTTTGACCTTGATTAGGTATGTAACATCTCATTTGGTTTACCCATTCACAAAATATCTAGAGAGTTATCTGTACAATTGACTAGGCCAGGATTAGTGACTCTTGAGTATGCATTTTTGTGTAAAGAATTTTTTAGAGATCTTTAACTGATGGTAGACATCAGGAAATAGCATTGATCAAAAGGCATAAATAGGATTCATCGAGAAGATATCCTATAAAGTGGATATTCGTTACATCAATTCAGTCTTTTCGTTTAGCTGTTGCCTTGTTTCTTAAAAAAGATGCATCACAGCTACCTAAACAATAGAAGTACTGTACGTATGTGAATAATTATTTTTATTCATTGCAGAATGTCCTATCTAATAACCTTAGTAATTTCTTTCATTACTGAAGGTAGCACTATGGACTAGAATACTCTTGTTTGATCACTCAAGACCTTGTTCATTATGAAAGGGTCAGAATGGTAAACAGTACAATATACAGTCATACCCCGCTTTACGTCATTTCAGCTTACATCATATTCACCTTTACGCCACTTTTCTAGAGTAAATTTCAGTTCAGTGAACGTCATTACGTCCAACGTTACATCACTCAGGAATGTCACCTACTTCATAATAAAAGGACATGAAATAAATTTTTCCTTAAATACATGTATAATTAAAATAAATAAAACGCATACAAATTATCTGTTAGTGGTGTTGAAAATACTGTATATATTTTCCAGAAATACAGTAGTTATATGTAAATAGATGGCCATACTGTATTTAATAAAATTTGTTATAAAAAATGGGAAAAATTTTCTGCGCCTGTGCAGAAGAGACTCGCCATGTTTGAACGAGACAACACAAACGTTAGTTAATAATGGGAAGAGTTTTTCGTGCTCTAGAGGTAAAATTGGGCTGACACCTCTCAAACAGGAAGTGAAATTGTTGGATGTGTATTCCTGCATAACTTGAGATATCAGGCGACTGGACAGGACAGCTCCGGGAACCTCAGATAAGTCTTACGTTATAACTCTGGCCAGTGTTATTTTCATGTATAGACAGTGAGGTTTTCTGAGTATGATGCACCTTGATCTCCAGTCAAATTGGTGGGTGATTTTAAGATATTCTCCTTCTGTTATGTATGTGTATATATTTTCTTTCTTTCAACACACCGGCCGTATCCCACCGAGGCGGGGTGGCCCAAAAGGAAAAACGAAAGTTTCTCCTTTTACATTTAGTAATATATACAGAAGAGGTTACTAGCTCCTTGCTCCCGGCATTTTAGTCGCCTCTTACAACACGCATGGCTTACGGAGGAAGAATTCTGTTCCACTTCCCCATGGAGGTAAGAAGAAATAAACAAGAACAAGAACTAGAAAGAAAATAGAAGAAAACCCAAAGGGGTGTGTATATATATGCTTGTACATGTATGTGTAGTGTGACCTAAGTGTAAGTAGAAGTAGCAAGACATACCTGAAATCTTGCATGTGTATGAGACGATAAAAAAAGACACCAGCAATCTTCCATCATGTAAAACAATTACGGCTTCAGTTTTTCACTCACTTGGCCAGGCGGTAGTACTTCCCTGGGCGGTTGCGTCTACCAACCCACTACCTAGAATGTGTATATATATAATCTTTTTTTAATTTAATATACAGTCACAAATTTATTATTTACCCGCATTCCTGGAGATACATATTTCATTTGTAATTAATAGGTCCAGAGCAACTGTGGTATTGCAGTGGTAGGTATCGAAGGGGGACATTTTTGCGACCTAGGTGTCCCCAAATTTTCCCACTTTTCTAACTGATAAATGATAATTATCTTTGTTCTTACTGTTATGTACATAATGATGCATTCAGATAAATGTAGTTTTCCACAAGTGGGGTGGATTGTGAAGAACCTGCCTAGTATGGGGCCAACAGGCCTGCTGCAGTGTTCCTCCTTCTCATGTTTATTAATGATGTAGGGGGAGGGTATGACTGTATTTAGTTTTTCTTTACTCGTATCTATATCTTAATGCCATTTTGGAACTACTGTAAGGTTAAAGGTTATTAAAATTTTGCAAGGGATTATTCTTGGCTTAGAAATAATACTGACATTCTTCACTAGTTATTTGGAGATTATGAAAACCCGGATATTGAAAATCATGTGGAAATTTAAAAAGAAAGTTTTGTTAGTGCCCCCAGAAGACTGACTAGAAAAATAGCTGCATGTGATATTCATGTCTTGGGTTATTTATATTATCTAGGATTTTATTTGTATCTTGTGAAAGAAAAAGAAGCAAAGAATGTGTTAAAAATGAAACATTTGTTATCAGAAAGCTGTCCTTAGTTACGGTGTTCCTATATTTTTTTAGATCTTAGTCCTGTATATCTGGAAGAAGCATTTTGGCTTCATCTTTAATTTCCTTGCAGCTTTTAATTTCATAATCTGGCTTTTTTTTTTTTTTAAAGTTTGAATGTATACTTGATATACTAACAAATGTGCATTTTAGTCATTTGTATATGTTTCTTACTTAATGATTGTTTGATCTAATTTCTATGGGTAATATATGCTTCGTGGACACAATGTATATCACTGAGAACTTTTTTTTTTGCCAACCATCTTCATCACTATTTGTTGGGTCTTCTTAGCAGTATATAAGAAATTTTAACCCTGTCATCACTAGCATGGTGATTACCTAATCTAGTTTGCAGAGCAAAAATTTGGACTCTCATGTGGGCTATCACCATATTTTTTTGAAATTTTAAATTCAGTTGTTTTGTGAATACATGTCAGTGGTCTTCATAGATCTGTTAACTTTATTGTATAATGCTTTTCTTTATGAAAAGACTTGATGATTTGATAGCGTGTAATGTATGAGAAGTGGTACATATTCAAAATAATAATAAATGTTTTGTCAGTTTACTTATGTAATCTGTGATTAATATCAGAGAAATTAGACAGTTGAATGGAATAATGTGAGTATTCCTTGTAACGAAGCCAATGGTAGAGACCAATTGCAGTAGTAAAGCCTTATTTTGACTTGACTAGTATATTTAACAAGGAATTACATTTGGCTCTACTTTTAACCCTTCATCAGGCAAGGGGTCCGAAAATTTGAAATTCGAACTGAGCTCCCTATGGTGGATAGAGTAACTCAATACAAGTTCAATGATCCCATATAAATTGATTTCTGATGGTTAGTTTTCGAGCAATTGCTAATCTCCGGAGACCGAAAATATCCGGCTGCGCCCGACAAAGTGATTAAAAAATTTTATGTTGCAAAACTTGCAATTGTTAATAAAACACACCAAAACAATTTTTTAAATTTAATATACAAACAGACAATATAAAAAACATAAATGAAACTTGAATCAAAACATTTTTTAATTGTTACAAAAATATAAAAAGGAAGCAAATCTCAACAATGACAAATTGCAAAGGGATGCAACTTTCAGTCCCTATATTCCCGAGATTCATTTGGATGACCAATTATTCTATATTGCTAATTGATGGTATGGTAGTCGCTGAAGCAATTTCTATCACTCTTTATCCAGATTTACTTTGCATACAGAACACTGGAATGAGGATGTGACCAATTTCTTCGAGTGGCTGCAATAGTTGCAATCGTAATACCTTACTTTTTCTTCACTAATTTCTGTTTTTTTGGCTGGCCTTTCTTCCTCCTCATCATCACTTGACACCTGTGCATCCGGTGGCAAGTATTCATCACCACTATCCAGCAATTCTGGTTCATCTACCTCTGCTTCTGAGTCACTCTCTTCAGAAACGCAGTCATACCTCGACCTGCTGGTGGACTGCTCCCCATAAAACAACTTCTCATTGATCTGGAAGGACAATAGAAACCTCCTGTATAGATCCAGACCACTACAGAGTTCATATATGCAATTGAAATTTTTTTATAAATATTTATTTGACTAAAATTGGACATTCCCGGAAACTCGGGCAAGACCGAAATAATTCGGTATAAAATGCTTGCACTTTTTTCAACTGCATGCTACACTCATATTATGCTTCACACGGACTTTAGGTATATATCAAAATATGCCTAAACTATTCATGTAAGCACTAAACACAACAATCAGTACTTACCGACATTGTAGAATGTATAATCCAAGAGTAGATTAGTAAGGGTGGAGGGAAAAATGGGTGTGTGGGCGGAGCCAAGCCACCAGTGTTTATATTTTGATCTCTCAACCAATGGGAAGGCGGCAGAAGCGAACTGTACTTAGCTGAAGAGACTCAGGGAAGGCTTGTGATTGGTTGGAACTAAAGAACGGGAAGCTGGCCGCGCGGGGCACGGAGTAGGACACGCCCCCAAAACACGTAATGAATACCGAATTATTTCGGCCCACCCCGATAAAGGGTTAATGAAAGTATCAATGTGGCTCATTTATAAGAAAAGAGGAAATTAGCATAGGAGGAGCATTACAAATAGACTGCTATGTGATGCCATGAATATCTACCTAAAGATGTGTAGTTTTATGTGAAGCTAAGTTACTGTACAGTACTATAGCATAGGCTCTTTTTGTTATCTTCCAAACTTTGTGGACCTTAGCCATTTTCACAAATTGCCTTGACCTATGTATTATTCAGACATATGTTGACAGTGGAAGAATGAACATGGTTTTTGTCACTGTTAATGAATAAACAAACTTTTGTATATCAGTTCAGTTGAATAGCAAAGGTACAGTTGCTCATTCAGTAATGTTCAATTAGTAGAGAAGAAATTCTGCTCCTTTACCAATACAGTGGACCCCCGCCTTACGATCAGCTCCCAACTCGACCAATTATGTAAGTGTATTTTTGTACATGCTTTTGTACGTGTAATTTTGGGAGTCTGAATCTGACTAATCTAATTCACAGTATTCCTTATGGGAACAAATTTGGTCGGTAACGGCACCCGAACAGACTTCTTGAATGAAATAATATCGTAAGGCGGGGGTCCACTGTACATTGTATATGGTGAGATTGCATAATTTGTTAGCAGTAGGGAAATTAACCTAGAAGCAGGCTGCATTATGTATCACTCTCTTGATTTTCTGAACCATAAGAAGGTTCTGGGAAAGGCTGGTCTAAAGCATTATCAGCAAGTGTGACCTGAGGTAAGCAGGCACTCAGCACATGGTAGCCTCTTTAGGAGGCATTCACTAGCATGCATAAGCCTATTTGATCAACAAACAAAGATAGATAGTAGAGGGCAACGAGTGACTAGCTCCCTTAAGATTTACTATACAGATAGTAGGAGTCTAAGAAATAAGATTGATGAGCTAAAATTACTTGCAAGTGTAGGTAATATAGATATTATTGGTATAACAGAGACCTGGTTCAACCTGAAAGATAGAGAAATGCCTTCTGAATGCAACATGCAGGGTTATAAACTATTCCACACTGATAGGGTCAACAGGAAGGGTGGTGGTGTGGCAATGTATGTCAGAGAAAATTTAAATTGTTGTCTTAGACATGATATAAGATTAGAAACATCGAACACAGAATCGGTTTGGCTACAGTTTCTCGAGGGACGTGACAAATTAATTTTGGGTGTGATTTATAGGCCCCCAAACCTTGATAGGGAGTGCAGTAAGCTGTTATGGGACGAAATTCATGAGGCATCTCGATATGAAAATGTTGTGATAATGGGAGATTTTAACTTTAGACAAATTGATTGGAACAATATGACAGGAAATCTTCAGTCTAGTGACTTTCTTGATACGGTTCAGGATTGCTTTTTAGAACAGGTGACAGAACCAACTAGAGGAAACCATCTGCTTGACTTGGTTCTTGCCAGCAAAGATTCACTAATTAATAATCTTGAGGTTAATGATGAGCTTGGGGAAAGTGATCACAAATCGCTTAGTTTCAATATATCATGGAATTACCCAGATAACTGCAATCAAATCTCTGTCCCAGATTTTTGCTTGGCCGACTTCATGGGACTGAAAAATTACTTGGGTGGGCTAAATTGGGATGTCCTGACTACGGGTCAGGTAGGTGATCTTGGTTGCCAATATGGCGTTTTTCAGAGCATAGTTCTAGCTGCACAGACAACTTTTGTTCCGAGTAGGGAAATTAGATCTAACAAAAATGATCCCAAATGGATAAACAATAGATTAAAACACCTCATTGGTCAAAAGAGAGGCATATATAGGCGTATCAAAAGAGGGGATGGGCAGTTAAGAAATCAATATATTCAATTAAAGAGAGAAATAAAAAAAAGGAATAAGAAAAGCAAAAAGGGATTATGAGGCTAAGGTCGCAAGGGATTCAAAAACTAACCCAAAAGGGTTCTTTCAGGTATACAGAAGTGAGATTAGGGACAAGATTGGCCCACTTAAGAGTAACTCTGGTCAGATCACTGACAGTGATAAGGATATGTGTGAAATTCTAAACACCTACTTCCTCTCAGTTTTCACCCAGGAAAATACTAGCGATATTCCTGAAATAATAGATTACGTAGAACAGGATGATGATAAACTATGTATGATTGCGGTAACTAGTGACATGGTCCTCAGACAAATAGAGAAACTAAAACCTAACAAATCCCCAGGTCCTGATGAACTGTTTGCAAGGGTGTTAAAGGAATGTAAAGAGGAACTTAGCATATCTTTGGCTAATCTTTTTAACATATCACTACAAACTGGCATCGTGTCTGATAAGTGGAAAATGGGAAATGTAATACCTATTTACAAGGCAGGTGACAGGTCCTTGGCTTCGAACTATAGACCAATAAGCCTTACCTCCATAGTGGGAAAATTTATGGAATCAATAATTGCCGAAGCAATACGTAGCCATCTTGACAGGCACAGATTTATTAATGAATCTCAACACAGTTTTATAAAGGGGCGTTCCTGTCTTTCGAATTTACTAACTTTTTTCACTTAGGTGTTTGAGGAGGTAGATCATAGTAATGAATATGATATTGTGTATATGGACTTCATTAAGGCTTTCAATAGAGTTCCACACCAGAGGCTATTGAGGAAACTTAGGGCACACGGAATAGGAGGAGAAATTTTTTCCTGGGTAGAGGCATGGCTGACAAATAGACAGCAGAAGTTTGCATAGATGGGGAGAAATCAGAATGGGGGCACGTCACAAGCGGTGTTCCTCAGGGGTCAGTGTTGGGCCCGTTGTTCACAATTTACATAAACGAAATAGATGAGGGAATAGCGACATAAGCAAATTTGCTGATGACACCAAAATAGGCCGTCCAATTCATTCTAATGAGGACGCTAAAGCACTCCAGGATGATTTGAATAGACTGACACAATGGTCAGAGAAGTGGCAGATGCAGTTTAATATTGACAAATGCAAAGTTCTAAATGTTGGACAGTTAATTAACCATGCCACATATAAACTAAATAATGTAGATCTTAATACTACTGATTGCAAAAAGGATTTAGGAGTTGTGGTTGCAGTAATCTAAAACCAAGGCAACAGTGCATTAGTGTTCGCAATAAAGCTAACAGAATTCTTGGCTTCATATCTAGAAGTATAAATAATAGAAGTCCTCAGGTTGTTCTTCAACTCTATATATCCTTCGTTAGGCCTCATTTAGACTATGCTGCTCAGTTCTGGTCACCGTATTACAGAATGGATATAAATGCTTTGGAAAACGTACAAAGGAGGATGACAAAGATGATCCCATGTATCAGAAATCTTCCCTATGAGGATAGACTGAGGGCCCTGAATCTGCACTCTCTCGAAATGCGTAGGGGGATATGATCGAGGTGTATAAATGGAAAACAGAAATAAATAAAGGGGATGTAAATAGTGTGCTGAAAATTTCCAGCCAAGACAGGACTCGCAGCAATGGTTTCAAGTTGGAAAAATTCAGATTCAGGAAGGATATAGGAAAGCACTGGTTTGGTAATAGAGTTGTGGATGAGTGGAACAAGCTCCCGAGTACAGTTTTTGAGGCTAAAACGTGTAGTTTTAAAAATAGGTTAGATAAATACATGAGTGGGTGTGGGTTGGTGTGAGTTGGACCTGACTAGCTTGTGCTGCTGGCTGTGGGACAGTGCTCCATCCTTGAGTAGGGATGACCAGACTGGGTGGGTCATTGGGATAATCCAGTGGATCATTGGTCTAATCCGGGGGGGGGGGACATGGTGTCATGTAGGGGGGGGCAATGATTGAATAGGATATAAGTGGGGAATATGGGAGTAAGGGATTAAGTAGGGAGGGGAGAGGCTGGCGGGGTGTTAGGAGTGAGATGATTAGCGGAGGTAGGTAGGTAATGACAGGTCAGTGGTGACCACCACGACACTCTCATTAACTCTACAATACTCACTAACATATGCCTCGCCCATTCTTCACTCATATATAAACATAATAAAATATAAGAAATATGAATAGCAAGTAACAGGGACAGTGAATATTACTATTCTACTCAAACACAGTTTATTATTAAGTCTTTGTACAATAATATATTTGGGAACAGAACATTATTGTGGTTTAGATAAATGGGGTGGTACACATAAGCAGTGAGACAGGGAATACAATCAACTTGACCAAAATGAATGTAACTTACAATATTGTACAGAGGACAGTTCACTACAGGAACTAAGCCACAGGTCCCAAGACCTACACAGCACGAGTACTGCGCCAAGCCAGTACTCTGCCCAATGCCTCCAACAGTCTCCTCCAGAGACTTCAGCAGCCTTCTCCCGAGCCCTGCACTCCAGCAGCAGCTCCGCTCGAATCTCCCTACTCAGCTCTTCCTTGGGCTTTTATGGTGGTCCAAGCACCCTCCACAACCACAAAAGACCTCAGACGTGGGCGTGGCTACAGACGTTTGCCAAGGCAAGGTGTGACCATATAATTGGTTAAATTAGGTCTCCCCAGAGACCTCACAAGCCCAGCTGGGCCACATGGGTCAGTAGGCCTGGTGCAGTGTTCCTTCTTTCTTATGGTCTTTTGTTCTTATGAGGGCAAATATTCTATTAGTGGGATGGATCTGTGAAGGACCTGCCTAGTATGGGCCAACAGGCCTGCTGCAGTGTTTCTCCTTTCTTATGTTATTTGCATTGTCTGGTTGTTGTCTGTTTCTCCTCTTCTCCCTTACCGTCGCGACTAGTACCACATTTGGCCTTTGGTACACTACTTCTCCAGTATGTATGGGAAGTAATTAGTATTGGATAAGGAACACATCAGGAGAAAGGG